CAAATTGTAAGTTATAACTCATGTCATTGGGAGTATCCTCTGTCCTTCAGCCAAAGTGATGCCCCCCCCAACTTTCTTCCATTTCTTTCTCTTTTAAAAACTCCACAGCCATTGGCCAGAGGAAGCTCCCTGAGGCAGCCAGGCAGGCTAGCCCTGCACGGTGGAAACCTCACAAGGCTACAGAGCCTGGGATGGAAATCTCTTCCCTAGCTTTTAAGCTTTGCTTCCATTCCAAGAACTGCACACAACCCTGAATCTCTCCCCTGCATGTCCCCTCTTCCAGATCAGCCTTGGAAATGTAGGCTGAGCTTTGAATTACAAAAACAATGAGCACAGACAGTTCTTCAAGTATAAAATTATATTATTGAGTTTGCTTTTCCAAGTGATATGCAGACCCTGGAGATGTCAAATGTTCCCCAGTGGAAACATCATTGCTGTGTGCCAACCTCTATGCCCCCTCCCCCCAAACAACGAAGTAACACATCAGACCCACCCTGCCCTGCCATCCAGTGCCTGTGTGCCTGTGCTCATCTTCACAGCCAGAAGTTCCTCCAGCAGAAGAGAATAATGGATCTGTTTGGAATGAAACATTGCCCCTTGCAATTCTCACAGCCACCCTGCAATGTGATCTCATTGTATCCAGTAGAGAACCCAGGCTCTGGGATGGACAGGCTGAGCACTGGGGCTGGAAGGTGAGCCGGCTGTGCCTTAGAGTTTAACACTCTTTACATGGGAGTAAGGTGGGACCCTCAGAGAATCCTCTCATTCCTGGCAATGCCCCTCACCCTTTCCGCACCAACAAGCTCATGCATGGCAAGCCTAGCAGACCAGCCACACCTTGGGCATGGAACCTGTCTTGGCCTATGTGTCTTTGGAGACAAAGTATTCTGCACAACAGCAATAGTAACAACATCAATGCTGCTAATGACATGGTAAGCAAGAATTGGGGCACCTTATCTGCTGTCTATAAAAACGCTTCTGTCCCAGTAGCAGCTCACCTACCCCTCCCTCCCCCATGCAGGTTGTACAGATCAAGCAGGTGCCAGGGTTTGAAGCTTAGCTTCAAGGCAAAAAGGAGTAAAGGGTTATCAATCACATACCACAGAGCAGACCCTTGCAGCCTGCTTCCTCCACTTGAGAAAAATCCAGCAAACAAATAAGACCACATCAGCCTGGAGCTTGGGGAATAGGAGGTGAACTAGGAGTTGCTGTGAATAATGCCTCAGTTGAGCAGATGACTGCAGCATCGGGAAGGCCTGCCTGCTACCTTCCTGCCCATAGCCCAAGGTGCTGGGGTTAAGTGGATAGGCGCCCTCTAAGGGGCCAAGGACTGGGGCTTGCAGCATGAGCCCTTAGTCCTGTGGGAAGAGCATGAGAGCCTTTATGTAAAACGAAGTCTTGGCTCCTGATCCGAAGCAGACTCCACCTGAGGCTGTGGGCTGGGTTCCCCACTGCGCAGGGAGTGCTGCTAGGAAGTAAGGCCTGCGGAGACCTTCCTAGGGCAGGGGAGCAGCAGCCAGGAAGGCTGGAGCCTGGTTTTGTGCCCCCCTTGCCACACCCACACCCACTGCTAAGACTCCAGAGGCAGGTGGGCAAGGTGAGCCTCCCAGGAAGGCCTTGCCGGTATAAACACTTCCAAGGAAAGGAATGTGCGGGAACAACCCAGTTGAGCCACTGGAGCCACCGGCCGGGTTGGAGAGATTTTTTTCTTAAGAACAAACAAACAAAACAGAGAAAAACCCAAAAACCAAAGACCAGCCCAGGCCTGAGAAGGCTTTTTCTGAAAGCCCATCAAAGTCTGGATGCCCCTTCTTCTGTGAACTGGAGCTACAGAGGAGGCTGGGCACCGTGTTAGGCCCTGCTTCCCGCCTGCCCGCCCAACGCACCACAAGCCTCTGCCCCCGTGTAAGCGCTCTGGGCTGGAACCCCAGGTCCGTCCCGTGAGCTCGCACAAAGGCCCCCAGCGCACACCAACGAGGCCCGGGTCACTAGACCTGGAGCTGTATTACAAGCGATTAGACTCCATTTTGTGACAGATTTTTGGACTCTCCCACCGACCCTCCCCCTTTCCGGAGCCTCCTCCAGGAATTCGCCACCTCCTCAGGATAAAAACCCTTTCCAGACAGCCAGCGACAGACGGCAAGAAACGAGAATTACATAATTCTACTCAGCCAAACTGCTAGGAAAAAAAAATTGCATGCGTTCGATGTTGTTATTATTATTTTAAAATAGGTTTTTTCTGTGGAGGATGTGAAAGGCGAGCCCCATGTTGAAGAGGCCGTGTTTCCTACTGATTCCTAACTGGGTTTTGTGTTGGAAAAGGAGCTGAGGCCATGGCTGCTTTTTTGTTTTTGTGTTGAGAACACACACACACACACACACACCCCATACACCTGGAGAAAAAGAGGAATTTGTTGAATTACAAGTGAAAATGTCCAAATGCCCTAGTCTGTCATCTCTTTGGCTCTACCAACAGGAACGAGTGAATTTTATCAAATGTTATTAAAAAGTACACAAACGTCAATTAATCACCCCCATGGTGCGTAAAATAACTTTGCACTTGGGGTTGCCGGGAATCTTTGAGAACAAAACGAAAGCAGAAAGATACTAAAAATGTCAACCTCTTGCTTTCTAAGGACAGACCCTGCAGCTCTCTGCAGCCCAGTAAGGATGCATTTTTAGGAAAGTTGAGGGGGGGGGTGTTAATTTCCCAATACGCTGACACAGACACCGCAGAATCAAGAAGGCACGTTTCTGCGCCACTTGCCTGGATTCTGGTCTGAAAAGCATTTGTGAACAGATGAAACAAATATGCATCTGCGATTCTCAAAGGAAAAAAAAAAGAAATGGTGAATAAAAAGTATTTTTATTGAGTAAAGAACACTGCTTCCCCAGCATAGCTGGCTGGGAATTTGTCCACAACATTGTCTTGCTAACGGCCAGGCCACTGGGGGCCCAGTCACCAGAGGCCCATCTAGTGCAGATACTTAATTGGCATTATTGGAAAAAAGAGGGGACTAAGGAAGAGAAGGAGGAAACTTTGAGGACACCCAGACTTCAGTAGCTCGGGACCCACTCCAGACTCCCAACTTGAGATTCAACAGACTGACAAATTCATTCCCAACACCAGGATCATTTTGCAGTGAAGACTATCTGAAAAGACTTCTCTTATTTTAAAAACAAATATACTTCAGACAAAGCAATTGCTAACGTTTAATTGTTTTTGTAAAACGAAGGAGTTTGCCATTCATCTCTAATTTGTGATCTTGTGGCTCCATGCCTGCCAGCAGGATGGGGTGGGGGTGGGGGGACATACTTGCTTTCTTTTAAAAAGAAGCCTTTTAATAATTGCAAGCACAAATACATACAGGTCATAGTAAAGTCTTTCCGATGGTTAAAACAAAAAATTAAACTACACAAATATTCCAGAGGCCTATTTCTAGTTTCTCAGGCCTCCTGACCCCACGTACTGAGTTGCTGAGGTCAGCAGTACTGCCAAGAGCACACCTCCCAGTCACACAGGCAAGCAAGGCTGGGCACATCCTATGGCATGGTGCTTCTTGGACCACCCAAAAACCCCAACCATATCATCCCCATTTTACTTGTCCTGCTTTAAGCCCAGCTGCCAGTGAACTGACCAGTGCCTTTTCCTTTTTGAAGAATGAAAGAGTTCCAGGGCACTAAGGCATGGCACAGACCAGACCAATAGTTGGTTGTGTACCTAAATCTGGGGAGCACAGAGAGAGAGAGGTCTCAGCTGTGCTCCAGAACCAGCAGAGTCAGTCCTTGGGCTGGTCCACAGAAACCCCCAGGCAGCAGAAAATGCAAGGTGCAGAAAACAGCTCTTGCCTGTCCCAGGGGACCAGCCAAGCATCTTTGGGGTAAAACCCAATGCCCTATCTAAGGCTCTGGCCACAGAGTCCTACTATTTTCAGGCCCCAGCAGAGCAGTCTGAAAAGCAGGTAGGCTGCACTCACCACTAAGAATCTGCCTTTGTAGTTCAGACTCCCTTCAAAGAATTGGGCAGACAGGGCCCTCTCTGAGCCTAAAGCAATGGAGCCAACTTACCCACCCGCAGTCACATCAAGAAGGTTTTCTGAGCATCTTTCAAAAGTTCTCCAAGCACCCACTTGTCTCAGCAATGCCACTCCAGAGGATCCCCACAAACCCCAGCAGGTCAAAAGAAAAAAATCCTTTCCCTAGTCTGTCCTGTCCCCAGCTTCTTGTCAGACAAATCTACAGCCACAGCTAAACACAGAAGTCTAGCTAGTGCTCAGCCCATAGCTCAAGCCCTTCAGCCCGGAGGGCTGGAGTATACCAGGGGAAGAATGAGCCACCCCTACCCAACACTGCAACAGAGTAGGCCGCTAACAGAGGGCTGACCTGGTCAATCTCCCACCTCAACTGAGCCGCCTCGGCTTACACTGCTTCTCCGGCCGAGAAAAAAATTGTACGTGCGAATTTCCCGCATGGAACGGTCTGGGGGAAGATGGACACCCATTTCTCCCAACCAGGGACTAAACATGCAGCAGGGAGCCTGGTCAGATGGGGCCCTTGCAGCCTAAGTAAGACATTTCAGTGCCCACCTCCCTGTTCCAGGAATCCCAAACCCCCAACATAGCTGCTTTGGGGCTAGGAAAGCACATCTCCAGGCTTGGCTCTCTAAAGCACTGCGTTTATTTGAAAACCAATTCTTGGTCCCCACTTGGGGCCTCAATGGGGCCAAAGCCCTTCCCCACACCCAGGCTATCCTATCTGCCAGTCGGCCCCAGAGCTTTTCTGTCTTGTACCCCAAGCCGGCTACCCCGCGCAGATTTCCAGGACCACAGATGGCACGTAGGGGGGCCACTCTCCAAAGCCGGCACGGGAGACGCGCAGCTCTTAGAACTCGGGGCGCCGCGGGGGGCTCCCCGCGGAGCGCAGAGCAGGCGGCGGGGAAGGAGCTGGCCGGGCTGCAGCGGCGGGCGCGGCGGCGGGGAAGGAGGACGAGAAGCGCTTACTGTTGGTAGTCTTGTTTGCAGTACAGTTTCCGATCCCGGAAGTAGCAGCTGGTGGTGAGGGCTTGCTGACACGCCGCGCACTGCAAACACTCCTCGTGCCAGGACGATTCGTTGACTCGCATCAGGAAGCGGTCGGAGATGGGCCGCTGGCAGCCCTCGCACACGGCGGGATGCGGGCAGTCCGAGCCTGCGGCGCACACAGGGAGAGCCCGGCGGTCAGCGCCGCCTGGCCCGGCCCAGCCACGGCGCCCCGATCTCGCGGGGTCCCCAAGCCCCCAAGCTGGGAGCCCCGGGGGCGCTCCCCCCATCCCCGCCGCCAGCGGTCCCCTGGCCTCCGCCGCAGAGGCCGGGCAGCCCCAACTGGTACTTCCCAGGCCATGGGTTCTGGCACCGACAGGCCGCACGGGCCTGAAGCCCCTTGGGCCCCGGTGCTCGCGCTCTCCGGTCCTCGGGAGATCCAGAGCTCGGGGTTCATACAAACGAGCAGGAGCCCCGCGCGCGCGGGGTCGCCGGCTGGGACCGAAAGAGGCGAGGGAGGCGAGGCTGGGGCGCTTCGCTGGCGGACACGCCCCACACGGGGCGCTGGGGATCTTCTCTCCCCATCTCCCCCAAGCCTGTGGTTTGGATGGCCCAGGGAACATTTTTGTTTTTTGTTTTTTCTTTTTCCTTCTAGAAGGTCCCCTTCTCCAGGTGGCCTGGCACTAATCCCTGCCTCGCCAAGGTGACTGACTACTTGGGGTCCCGCATCACTCCCGCCGCTCGTCCCGCTAGCCTCGCCCCGCCTGGACCACAACTCTAGGTCCCGGCCCGCTGAGGACGGAGAGGGTGGCGGCGGCTGCAGCCGTCCCGTGCTCTCCTCCCGGGCGAGGTCCCCGCACTCGGTCCACCCTCCCCAGCATGCCCTGGGCGTGCTTGCTGCCCCCCTCGGAGGGTCTCTCCAGGAGTCCTGTCCCGGTGCCCGGTGCCCACGTCCTGCCAACCCGTTTCCTTCATCCGCTGGCCGGGATGCCCCCCGTCTCCAACTCATGACCACTCGGGGCGTCCGTCCCGACCTCGCACTCACCCAGCAGCACCCCCAGAGTGGCGGGCCCGGGTCGCAGGGCGTGCTCCTCCATCTTGATGCCGTCCAACATCTTGGCGCACTCGGTCTGCCCGCGAGGGAAACACCTCTCCAGCGACTCGGGACCTGTTGCTATATCCATGGGACGCGGGGCGCGCCGCGGACCTCGCCGGCCGGACCGCTCGCCGCCGCCGCCCGCCCGCCCGTCCGCCCGCTCGCCGCTGCTGCCGCGGCCCTGGAGCCGGGGAGGCGCGGCCCCCGCGGGGCTCGGGCTGCGGCCGGGGCCGCCCGCTGCCCGCGGCGAGCTCCGCGGAGCGGCGGCGCGCTGGCCCCGGGCCCCGGCGTCGTGCGGGTGGGCCGGGGCGGCTGCAGCCCGCGCCGCGCTCTCCCGGGCCCTCGCGGCCACGCGCGCCGGCTCCTCTGTCACCTGCTCGTCAGCCCCGGAGCCCGGCGGCGGCGGTGGCGACGGCGGCGGCAGCAGCGGCGGCGGCGGCGGCAGACGGAGCCGCGGGGAGGAGGCGGCGGCCGCGGCGGCGGCGGCGGCGGCGGCGGCGGGCGGGGGAGGGGGCGGGGGTGCAGGGGCGGCCCCGCGGGCTGGGGGGGCGCGGGCGGCTCAGCGGGGTCCCGGGCGGGGCGCAGCGGGCCGCGGGGCTCCGGGCGCGCTCCCCGCGCTACTCCAGTGCCATGGTGCGCCCGAGGAGCCGCTCGGTTTAGAGCTGGGGCTGGCGGCGGAGGGATACTCCGGCCGGGAGCCGCCTCACCCCTCCTCAAACTTCCTGACATTTGAACTCATTGGTGCGCCTCGTATCCCTGCGCCGGGATGAGCCGGCGGCTCCACGTCAAATAGTGCCGGGGCCGTCCCCCCTCCCCCCAGCGGGCTCCCCGCGCCCCCGGCCGGCGCCCCGAGCAGCGTCTGGCCCCGAGTGCCGGCTGGGGGAGCCCCGGGGAACCCCGGCCCGCCCGGTCGGCCCGCTGGCCCCTCTCCGAAGTTTAGGTCTCCTTCGGAACAAATCCCCTGCCCCACCCCCTTGAAAAATTGATTTGGGAGTTGGGGAATGAAGGCATTCTTTTTCCTTTCTTGCCTTCTTTATTATTAATATTTCGTAAGGCTCCAGCGCTGGGAGGAGTGGCCCCGACCGCGGCGAGGCCAGACCGCGCAGACGGCGGGTTGCGCAGCGACGCCGCGGCCGGGGAAGCGGCCGCCGGGGGACCCCGGATGCCGGCGAGGTAAATCGAGGTAGGACGCGGTGCCGGGGGTGGGGGTGGGGACCGCACGGGGGGGGGGGGGCGGGACGGGACGAGTTGGCGGCAGCGCCGGTCCGGGACCGCGCGCTCGGGATCCAGGCGGACCGAAGGAGAGGACTGCTGGCTCTGGACTCTCCAAAAGTGGCTCTGGCCCCGGGGGGGGGGGGGGGAACGGAGGCGGGGCGGGGGGCGACTTCGGGGTTTGTGGGAAAGCTTCGGGCCTGGCAGAGATTGGGCGGAGGAGGTGAGCCGAAAGGGGGCTGCAGGCCGAGGATGGGCGACATGGGGTAGACAGGAAGGTCAGGCCCAGGTTCAGGCCAGGAGAGTTGAGAGGACCATTAGAAGTGGGCAGGGGGTCTGGGCCCGGGTGGGGGGCTAGGGGGACGACAGGGGCCGACCGCTGGGCCCTGGGGTTCGGAGGCGAGGCGTGGGGAGCTGGGAGCGGTGGTTCCCAAGGTCTAGCGGGGGGCCTGGGTTCGGCCTCTCCAAGGACCTCGGGTCCACAGTTGGCACAGGCCTCCGTGGCCGAGGGGTTGTTCAGCTCGGGTCTGGGATCGTGCCCTGACCAGCGGAACCGGAGTGGGCCACGAGGCCAAAGGCCAGCCAAACTCAGCTGGCGACTTTTGCGCCCGTCGGGCCTGACACCAGCATCGGATGCGAGAAGACATCGTGTCGGGGGGCCATCGAGGACTGCGCCCCAACTGTGGCCCCCGGATCCCCAACAACGGCCCATCCACGCGCTGGAGGGCGAATGCGGCTCAAGAGCAGGCACCGCTGTCCTCCCCCCCAGCCCGGTGGGCCGCTGCGGGGCGGCCCGGCCCCTCCCGGAGCGGGGCAGCGGCGCGGAGCCAGGCGGGGGCGGAGGGCATGGGGGGGCGGGTCCCCTGACCCCGCTGGAGGCGAGAGGGCGGGTCGGATTTGGAGCCTACGGGAGGCTCGGTCAGAAGTGGCCTCCTGTGCCTGGGGGGGGGGGGGGGTCGGAGCGGCCGGCTTTGTGGAGGATTAGAGGCTGCCGCCCCACCCCAGTACCTGCGTGTGTGTTGGTGGGTATCCGTGTGCAACTGTGTGTGTCCAGGCTCCCGCCCGAGTCTACTGCGTACGTGAGCACCCAGTTACACCGGTGTGTGTGTGTGTGTGTGTGTGTGTGTGTGTGTGTGTGTGTCCCTGCCACTTTCCAGGCTCCGTGAATCCGCATCCTATTCCGATTCCGATTCCCTGCATCCTTGTGCGTGCCTCAAGAACCTGCAGATTGATGCTTCTGTGCTTCTGTGTCTTAAGGTGTTTTTGTACGTCTTTGTGAGCGTCCCTGAGTGTCGGGGCGGTGTCACTCTACGAGGGCACTTACATCTTTGTGTGCATCTCAGCCTCTGTAATGTGGGAGATTTTTTGGGGGGGAGTGTTGTGTGTGCACATGTAGCTCCATGTTACCTTTGTGCTGTCCTGGAGTTTCTGAATGATCATGCATCTCCCAGAGGGTTTTGTTTTTGTTTTAAATGTGTGTCTGGCTTTGTGTTCTGCATCTTTCTCATAGCCTTTGTGTGCATGTACTGGGGAGGATGGATAAGTGGGTGTGGAGTTTCTCCCTCATTCTCCTTTCGTCCCCTGTCTTTGCTCAGCCTGGAAAGCCCTGGGCCTTGAGGTTGGGCTCAGGCCGTCTTCTCTGGGCGTCGCGGCCCGGGCGCGCCTCCACGGGTAAGGCTGGGGCGTGCGGAGCCGGGTGGCGCCGAACCCCGCGCGGGGCTGGCGGGAGGACCGGACGCATTCCGCCCTCTGCTGGCTACCGTGACTCCTTACACCCTTCGCTGGGCACCGCCTGTGGGCTGAAGTCCTAGTTCCAGGCCCAGATCCCCGTGCTCTCCTTCGGGGCGCGTGGGAAGTGTCCAGTCATCTCACGAGCCCGGCAGGTCCACACTGGGGCCTAACTCCTGTGCTGCGTGCCCGTCCCCTCCTCTTTCCCACTGTCCACCTTCTCTGCGCCCGGCCTCTTCCTTTCCATACCTCTCCGTGCCCCACTTGGTTGAATGAAGACCTTGCTTCTGGGGCTTCCTGACCCTGGGATTGGAGTCAGTGATGTTGTCCAAGGGCGCATTCTGGGGGGCGCCTGGAGGCCTGGTCTTAGCTAACCGGGACGCGTCCGTAACCCCGGCGGGGCGCATGCATTCGATTCACAGATTCCCGTCCAAGTCACAGCCCTTGCAACCAGGATGGGCCCGGAGCGCGGGGCCGCGACCGGGCGGTGCTCCCTCGGTGCACCGGGGAGACAGTCTGCCTCCTCCGGCCGGGGTGGGGGCGCCTTCCGTACCCTCGCTCCCTCCCTCTCCATTCACCGCCTCACCACGCTCCGTTCCTTGTCCTTTGTCTCCGTTCCCCGCCAGCCCCCCAGTCAGGCTGCAGAGTTGGCCGTCCCGGGTCCTTCGCAGACGGCTACACAGAAGCTCCCAGACCACCTACCCCCACCCCGTCACCGGGGCGCTTGCCCCTCCCGATCGCGCCTCCGCCGAAGAGCGGGCGGGCTGGACGGGAGGGCAGAGACCCAGGCTCACAGCCGTCTTCCACCCGAGGAAGTCAAGCGGCAGCTGGCCCCGCGGGATGCGAGCCCCGAACCGGATGCGCCCTTCGAGGCCATCCGCGGCCCCGGGACCCGCGACGCCCGCGGTCCGTGCGCCCGGCGCCTGCCGTCCGACCCGGGATGCGAGGGCTCCGGCTTCAGCTGCAGAAACAGCTCGGGATTTCCTCTACGGAGGATGGAGCGAGTCGCCCGGTCGTTTTCGTTCTCAAGAAGCAAGATCGGAAGGGTCCTGGCCGGTTCCCAGTCCGCCGGGCCGCGTCTCCACGGAACCCCGCCCGGCTCCCTCCCGGGCTTCTCTTCCCCGGGCCTGGTGCTTCTCCCGGATTCTCCCCGGGGCGACCCGCCTCCTACGAGCGCGCGCGGCGGGCAGCGCTCCCGGCCCGGGGCCGCGGCCGTCCTGCCCCGGGCTGTCCGGGGTGTTTTGTGCTTCTGACCCGAGCCGGAGCTGGGTCCCCGTTGTAGTTTAGAACTCCGGCTGGAGTCGCAGATGGCGGCAGGGACGGAGTCCTGGGCGCAGGCTTGCCCCGGTGCCGGTGCCCGAGCAGGGAAGGAGCCGACCGGGCTTTCCTGCGCCCAGAGCCCGCACCGAGGGCGTCAGGCCCGCCCCGAGCCGCCCCGGCCGCCGGGGGCCTCTACTCTGCGGAAGCCACACCGGAGCAGAGCGGCCCCAGCAGGGGCCAGGTTAGCGGGAGCTGCTGGCCTGGGCTCCGGGAGAAGCGCCCCGACTCGGGAAATGGAGCCCGGACGCCCCAGACGCGGCAGAGGCCGAGGCCCGCTCCCCTCGGTGCAGCCCGGCCGGGCCTGACCCAGGACACGCGGGTCAAAGGGTCATGCGATCGTAAAGTCACACGGCCACTTTCCCACAGCCCCGGGCAGAGTGCCGGTGGGTGAACCCCAGAGACCCTGGAGGGGGTCCTGTTGGGGTGCTAGGAGCTGGGGGTGTGGGAGGTGTGGTGAGAGAATTGGGGTGAGGAGTTTGCGTGTGGACTTGTCCCAGTGTGGGTCTGTGTCTTGTGCCCAATGTGGGAAGTAGAAAAAAAAATCCCCAGCCAAGTCCTCCCTGCCCGGTCCTCAGCGCCCTTCCTCTGGCCACAGACCCATGAATCCTACAGGAATCTGTGGGATTTCTCGCGGGTCGCTGCCCCAGGTTGTTGGCTGAGGCCTGAGGTCTCCCGGTGGTAACTAGGAGTGGTCAAGGTCTGGGTCTGGGTAGGAGGAGATGGCCGGCAGATCCTGCGTCTGTGTAAGGCAGCGTCCGGGTACAATGGTGACCTAGACCCCGGAGAGAGCGCCCGCATCCGTCCCACAGAGGAAGAAACAGAAGCGCCTGCCCGGGCCTGGCACGTAGTAGGCTTCTGAAAATAGTTGTAAATAATTGGATGAGTTTAGTGAATGCCAGAACACAGGGGCATCGCAGCTACCTCTTTGCCAGCCAGAGCTGGAGGGAAAACAGCCACGGTCCCTTCCCTTCCGCAGGGCAGGTGAAGTTCAAGTACAGACGAGATCCTAGGGCGTGCACTGGAATTGGAGGCTGAAAAGCCACTACTCAGTTGCCTGCGCCTATTGCATGGAAACCACCATGTGGGACCCCCAAGGTGTCTCTTACATTTATTCTGAACAGGCACTTTCTCCCAGAATCTTCGGATTTCTTGCCAAATGTTGGGATTATTTCAGCAAGCCCATCAAAAACTGAGGCGGGGGAGGGAATCCCCAACCAAGGACCCGAGCTAGAACAAAGGCCAGGGACCATACTCAGAGCCATAAAAGCCCCATCAGGACTCTCAGAAAAACTCACAAAAAGACATTTTATATGAATTGGACACAAATTCCCAAAAGCTAGGGAATTCATTGGTCTCCACCCCAAGGGTCTGCGGCTGGGGAAGGGGCCTGGGTGTGAG